AAAATTTTTTGATGCAACAAAAGTATCTTTAATCTTAAAATGAAAATTACTTTGCATGTTGGATAGGCAACACGAGAAAAGAAAAAAAGGCATGAGAAAAACATTGGTTTACAAACCATAAAACTTAATAAAAAAATTTGATATTTTGCGTATGAAAGCATTGTAATGTTTACTGATAATCTACCAAATTTAGTTAACATACGTTTACTAATTTAAAAGTTATAGCATGAAAACTATAACAAACACAAAATGGCCATGAGGTCGGTTCAAGGAATCGAGCTTGTGCTGAAAGAGTTAATAGAGAATAAATTTTTCGTGATTTATTCAACTGAAGTTTTATATGTAATTTTTTAAAGTCTTTTTTGCCTTTCTCTTATAGTTTCAAGTACAAGTTGTGGTCTAAGCTTGAAGAGTCTTCTCAGATGCCCTGTATTTACTTGCGGAATGTACATTGTTATTTTAAGTGCTTCACCAAGTAGCAGTTCTGGTTCAGCAGCTCGCTCTCTCTTCGGCAGTGGAACTGGTCTTTCTTCATTACGTTGTATGTGTGTGTATGTTTTTACATATTTAATTATGATTCATTAGAAGAAAATGGTGAAGTTGTCTTGTAAGGAGTTGCTTTTATTAAAGTTAATATATAAAATAGGTTTAAAATTTTAAACAAAATAAAATCAATAATTTTCTGAAACCACTTTTCTAAAAGGTTAAGAAGCTTAGCTAAAAACAACACTACATACTTTGAACTTGTAGCTTTAGGTCATTATTAGGTCTTGACAACCGAACTTACAAAATCAGAACATTTAATGCTGTTTTTAACAAGGTTTCTTTAGCTCTGAAATAAAATTTTTATTGTGGTTTTCAAAGTAATTGATTTTCTTTGATTTTAAGTTATTAGAACTACAAGCACAAATAAAATGATTTGAACATGAAATAAGGATGAGTAAACTACAAAGGTGTGATAGTGCATATCATCTATTCCTCATATTGATTTGTACAGATGGCATTGTTGACTGTTCCTTATATTAAGTGATTTTGATGTGATGGTTTTTTATGGTCCTTAACAAGTAACTTTGAAAGTTATTAAATGCAATTTTCATCTTGTTAGTATAGGGGAAATCAGAAGTTAGTACAACTTTCATGTAGCTAATGTGGGGAGGAAATCAGAAGTTAATGCAAGTTTCATGTAATTAACTCAGAGGGATTAAAAGTTAATTCAACTCTTATATAGTTAATGTAAAGGATTAGAAGTTAATACAACTTTAACCCTTTTCATATGGGTAGGGGTCAGAGTACATATCAATATGTTTTGTAGACTTACATTAAAAATTTTAATTAAACTACTATTTTATGAATGTATGTCAATGAATTTGGACAGTTTGTAATTCAAATTTCAGTATCATACATTAGTTTATTTCTTTAATTCAAAAGTAAATATTTAAGAAAATTGCTAAATATTGATTTTTTTTGTATCACATGGTACATCCTCTTCTGCTTATGCCCCTATTGTTTTATGGGTGTCATAAAATGTAAAGTCTATAGTTTTTAATGATTAAGAAACTCAAATTACTAATTTTGACAAGCTAAAATATAAAATAAGAACCTCCTACCTTTTCTGTTTGCTGAGATATTTAGTGAAACATTACCCATATCATAACTAGCACACTCACTAATCTTGCAACTATTAACCACTTCTCAAATGGCAGTCATATTGAATAGATGTGTTTTTGCTTGCAGTTTGATTAACTTATCCAAAGTTTTTACTTTCTTAATTTTTCTACTTCATTTCAGTTGTTATTTGCCATTTTTGCTCTTTTTTTTGTGGAGAGTTACGATTTATTTTATATCTTCCCTCCTTTTTTCATTGCGAGAAGTATGCACTCTCAATTTCAAGTGGTCATGACTACAACTGCTTTTATTGCTGCAGCAGATTTACCGACCATGTCCACTGGGTTGGAGCCCTGATTATTGGCCCATTATATGGCTCTAGTATGTTGGGAGTTGACCAGGTTCTTGCAACATTCAGAGCCAGTTGATGATTGTCCTTTCATACCTGCTGAGAGTTTGAGTGATTGGGAAGATGAGGATTTGGATAGCCTTTTTCCCCTTTATGATTATGCCTCTCAGTCACATGTTGTTTCAAGGAAATGGCCCAGACTTCTTTCCCCTTTTGTGGAATTGATTAATCAGGTATGTTCTGTTCTGATCTCCTGTTTCCTATAGTTCCACCCTGCCCTTCTCGGGTATGAGCCTTTGGGTCATTATTTAGTGTTTCCTCCTTCCTGAGATAATGGGATTCATGTGACTCATTTTGGGGAGCAACTACCTTTGGTGGTTAGTGTGCTTTGACCCCATGTACTATGGATGATCATGCTTTTTCTTATCATTGTTCCATCTTCTCCTGTTTTGACTCACAGCATTTGGAGTCACTTCTCCCTTTGTGGGGATCGAACACCGCTACTTTGATTACTTTTTTCTAACCATTTTTTTCCTGTATTTGTCTTGCTCTCACCACCCTTCTCCATTCCTTATCATCACTTCACCTTTTGTCTGAGGCTGTTCATTGTTCCCCTGAGGGGTTTTCAGATGATACTCAGAATCTCCTTTTAGCTACCATAGCATGCTTTTTCTCCTCAGTCCTGGCATTACAGATGTGGCTATTCTGTGGGGTGTCCCAGATTTGGATGCTTTTGCAACTCATCTCAACACACATCTTTCCTGATTTTGGTCTCCTGTTCCCCATCCTATGATAGGAGCAGTCAATGCTCTCAGTTAGGATTGGATAGGTTGCTACCTATATGCATATCCTCCTGTTCATCTCCTCTCATTGCTCCTTGCCATAATTCAGACCACTCCATGTTGAGTTCTGTTGGTGGCTCCATATTGGTCAGGTCAGATGTGGTTTCCACTGTTGCACCAGCTTTTGGTGTTGACCTCCTTCCTTTATCTCTGACACTCCTTCATCAACCCCACTCAGGTATGTGTCATCCATCCATTACCATACTCCATCTTCATATATGGCTTTTGTCTTGTCCCTTGTCAAAAGGGCCAGACTTTTGCAACCTGTAGCTTCCTTCATGGTGGTTTACTGATGTAAGTCATATATGTACTGCCATTGGTCTGTCAGATGGGACTATCAACCTTCCCGTCCTACTGTTCTTCACATAACATCATTTTTGACAGGGGCCTTTCAGTTTCCTCAGTTGCAGGCTATTGGGCAGCATTCTCTGCCACATTTCGGCTTACCAAATTTGCTTGTGTTTCCCAGTCACCAGTCTTATCCCTGTTGCGTTGTTCCTTCCACATTTCTTGTCCTCTCCATCCATCTACCTTCCCTGATTAACTTCAATGTGGTCCTCGTTGCTTTTATTTGACTTCCATTTGAACCTTTGTCTTTCTGTTCATTATATCACCTTTCCTTGAACTCCCTGTTCCTGCTCATGTTAGCGTGCGGAAGTCGTTGTTCTGATGTGTTCTCGATTGATGTTTGCTGCATTTCATTTCATGGTTCCCATGTTCTCCTCTCTTCTGATTGTTCCTTTATGTCCATAACTTTGGCTGCTCATGAGGGTAATTCTACCTCACACCCATTTTCCTTACCTCCATATTCCTATCTTTATGACTGTTCTGATCCTGACCTCTTCCTGTGCTTATTCAGGGATCTCCAAAGGTATATGACATGCACTACTCCCTTACGTGGTTCCAGAGTCCATTTGTTTATTCCATGGAATCCTAACCTCTCCTGTGATTTTTCTCCCGTTACTCTTACAGGTTGAATTTGCCAGTTAATTCGCCTGGCATATTGTTCCATTTCTCCTGATGATTGATGACTTTTCCAGGTTTCTTCTCATCAGATTTGTCACCTTACCATGTCCCTGGCTGCCCATTTCAGTCTTCCCTTGAAGGTCATCATCAATGTTGGTATGCAGATGACTGTGCATCCCTTCACAGTTTCTTTTTTTCCATCACATGGCCATTTCCTGCTCTTTGGTGTTCTGCATACCTCCTGTTGCCATTTTGCACTCTTCTATTTCTCTGCGAGAGGTAAATCCTACCTCCATTTCCTTTTCTTTGCAGGGACCTTTACTGCATGTTTGGATCCCTCTCTGTGGCAAACGTTGCCTGACCATGTATATTTATTCTTAAATCCGCACTGAATGACCTTTGATCATATACCATACTAGATGATTGTGATGTTGAGGATCTTCCTACCACAGATATACAATATGATATACAATTCCAGATGCTGCCAGATGTTGGTTGATTGACTCCTCACCATGTTCTCTATGCTTTCAAAATATATCTCCTAACACATATCCAGGTCATTTTATTCCCACCATTGAGATGGGTGTTCCACAGGACTGCTCGTAGGTGTACCTCGCAGTCTTTTATATCATATATATATAAGTCCTGGATTGTACACTCGAGGACCAACATGAGTACAGCAGACAGGGATTTCTGCCTATCTCTGATGATCCATGACATTTGATGCTTGTCCTATTGTGGACCTGATGTACAATTCCAGATGGTGCCAGATGTTGGATGATGCACTCTGTCAACATGATTGCTCTGCTTTTCAATGTAGGGTATCACAGTCACCCTTTACAGTGTCTCCGGTTCGGAATTCCTCTGGTCTCTCCAACACATTATTCCCCTCCTTCTTCTAGTGGAGTATAGGAATCCTTGCCACCTACCAGTTCCTAGCCACTGGGGTGGTAGACCATGGAGGCCTGTTGTTCTGAGTGTGCACAATACTAATCAGTTGAGAGTAGGGTGGTGGAATTCTGCTGGTGTAGTTGTCTGATTGATGCCCTTACTATTGCGGACCTGATGTATAATTCCAGATGCTGCCAGTTGTTGGATGTAGCACTCCACCATATGTAAATATTGCAGTTTGCCTTTCTGACTGAGACACCTTCCTTCCTACTGTCTGTCACATGTTGGTTCCCAGAGCTCTGGTGTAGGTTGGAGCTGGACCAGCCACATAAGTCCCCATATCTGTTTGGATGGTTACCCTCCTCATACCATGGACTGGATAATAAATTCCCAAAGCTGCCAGGTTTTGGACTGGAGATGCAAACTTATATAGCTGTCCCTCTTCCTACAGTTTGTTGGGTGTAATTTCCCAGTGGATCTGGTGTTGGTTGGAACTGGATGAGACACAAATTTCTACAGGTGTAAGGTTTGGTACCCTCCTCCTACTTTGGATTGGATGAAAAATTCCCAATACCGCCAGGTTTTGGACTGGAGATGAACATCAACCTGGGCCCTCCACCTTCCTACTGTATGCTGGATGTTGATTCTCAGTGGATCTGGTGTTGGAGGTGTGTAACTGTGGAGTCGGGTTATTGGTACAGAAGCTCCTCTTCCCTCCTGGTATTTGTTTTTGAGGCGAAAAGTAGAGGACCCTCTTCCTGCTATGGTCCTGACATACAATTCCAGTTGCCACCAGGTGTTGGTTGAGGTCAAACTTCCATTTACAATCTGTCCTATTATGTAATTTTTATTGGAATTTCTCCTTAGTTTCTGGCTGTTTGGTGACATATTACTCACAGGCAATGAGTATACCCAGTAAGATATTGTATTGGAAGTTTACATTTTCTTAAATTGAAAATGTATTTCTGATAGATGCTTACCTACACTCACATTTCCCACCTGTCCTCCCCACTTTCAGTGTGTTTTAGTATGATATAACTAATCTCAAAGTGGTTAACAGTTGCAAGATTAGAGGGTGCTAGTTACGACAGGGGTAGTGTCACACTCCTATTGGTGGAGAGTTGCTGCATAATCATTTGCATGTTAGTATACAGATGTCTCACGTTAACATACAGGAGTGGAAGTGGGAGTATCGAGGCTAGTGGCAAACAAAAATTTGTGCCAATAGAAGGCAGTATACATTGAGAAAGCTTTTTGTGAGGAGAGATAGGTATCTATTGGAAATACATTTTCAGTTTAAGAAAATGATAACTTTGAAGTCTCTGACATGCACATAAGGTGCCATTCAGGTTGACAGTTCTTTTTTTTTTCTTTCAGTATCAGTTTTTATTTACAAAAATATTAGCATTAATATGAAAAATAGTAAAATTATTTATAGTAACGTATTGAGAGTTTGGAATTATTCTGTGATAGATTTTTTTTATTTATTTTTTATTGCCTTTAGCATTAGCAACGAATCTAGTGTTCAGTGTGGAAGATGGTAAATTTGTGTCCAAAACAGATTTAATGGATTCTCCCTTGTGTTCATTAGCAAGAGGAGCTCTTCTCCATCAAATTGGTGAGGCTTTCTTAATGCAGTTTTCACTTTCTTCATGTTTTTGCATTAGTGCAATGCACTTATGCTAATGTTAATCTTAATTGAATGTGAAAAGTATAAGTTAATCTCTTTGTTTAACTTTTGAATGATTGATGAAGATTGTTGAAAGCAGAATTACTTATCTTACTTATTTATCCTTTACATCCTCCTAAAAAGTTTTGGAGAATAACATTCCTCCTCTCATGTGAATAGGATTTAAACCATGCCAGATGAATGCTCTATCAACTGAGCTAAAAAGTTAACCTTCCAGCAGTTACAACTAAATTACTTTCTAACTACTCAACTGTTTACTGTGTCTGATACCTTGTTAATAGTTGAGGGTAAAATCCTCAATATAGGTGCCTGAGGTTCATAAACATATGAAAAAGTAAATTGTATTAAATGTTTCAAACAAAATTGTCCATTCAAATTATTTTAAATAAAAAACAAGGGCTAATGATAAACAAAATCTGTATATATATATATATGTAAAATGGGCCCGGCATGGCCAGGTGGATAAGGAGCTCGACTCGCAATCTGAGGGTCGCGGGATCGAATCCACTTCCCACCAAACATGCTCGCCCTTTCAGCCGTGGGAGCATTATAATGTGAT